CATGTCCTCCTCGTTATGCCAAGGCGGCTCGTGCACGTCACTGATTCTCAATATATCAATAAATACTTGAGCCTATCTACTGATCGAGCCTACAAGCATTATTACAATGACAAAAACTTCAAGTAATATATGTAAGTTCCGCTACTTGAGATCATCTCCTAAGCTTTTCGACATTCTGAGCAAAGAAAGTATTGCTCCTTCCAAACAGGGCTAGCGGTTGTGCAGTATGTTAAGACATTCTGAAAAACTCAAATGTCCTCAAACTAGATTGTCAAAATACAGTGCTAGCAGTAATTGTAAGGCTGATAATTCTTGCTTAATACATGGGCAATTCATTTGTACCGAGTTGAACACAATGAGGCATTTGATTCCTGTTCCCAAACACCTAATATCAAGATGGCATCCCTTCGAATCTTCCTTCATTAGTGAGATAAAGGCTTTTGTTCGATTGGCCAAGATTAGTTCAAAGCGTAGATGAGAATTGCATCTCAAAATACAAAAATTCACCACACTTAATCAAATATGAAAGCCCCGAAAAAGGTAAAGAAAAGGGAAAGATTGTAACTCTAGGGATATAAGAACGAGAAGTTAAACGCTCACCACATCAAACAATCATTCCTCACTTCACCCTCCAGCTGCACTCTTTACGGAGCATTTTTCGAATTGACGTTGCTTTCGGCCAATTCCAAAGTTCCGATGCGCGATAGTGCGCCGAGAAGGCCGCTTAGCTCGGTTGAAAGCCAGAGGAAGTCGCGTGGTAGGGTTCGCAGATGGTCGTAGTCCCAGAACTACCCACTTTCTGCTAATACAGAACCTACGGTCAATTATCTCTTCCTGTCTTATTTGCCGCACACAGACCATTCCTCATTTCCATGAAAGTGCCGATCTTCGTGGCGTTTAGGCAAATCGCACCAGGGAACGCGGTCCAACAGGCTGCGTTCGCTTTATTTGCGAAGTACTCTACAGGAAGAAGCCTACTAAACCAAGTTCCATCAAATGATACGTGAATAGCCGAGTTTGGCGCTATGAGCCTTCCCCTATTTCAAGTGTAACTGTGCTTCGATTCGATTAACACTTTGATTCATCATCATCAACTTGTCACTCGCCCACCCGGAAAGAGCTTTGTGAGTCCTTGCAAGATTAGGACATTGCTTACTGCTATGATGTTTTTTAGCTTCCAAAACTTTTTGTAGAACCAAGTTCTGAACCTATATGAGCAGTACTACCCTGTTTTGAGGAAGGCCCTTAACCTAATTTTTGACTAATTTCTGAATTTTGCAAAACATTTCAGTGTATTTGAGCCTCTAAACCGGAATAAGGTTTTTGTCTTGAGCACCACTAATTTCGGTGCATGTCCCGCCTTCTGTAGGAGTGGTTTCGCTGAGCCCGTATGTGCTCTAATGATCTTACCGCAGGTTCAGCCCATTTTGAAGCTGACTTGAAGCAAGTTCTTATTAAGTTAAAAACGAATTTAGTGAAATGTTAGTAGATATGAAAAGTGACTGACAAACAGATAGTCAAACGAACAAATAGACCCTTAAATCTTATGGTTTATACGTGCGTTTCAAATGTATGTGCACACCTAACATTTTTTTTTTTTGAGAATACCATTGCTTTCTGTAACCTGTGACCTTCACCATTGAATTTCTTGTATGCGACAACAACACTTTCTCTGAGAAAACATCTGCTGCTGCTGCTAACATAATTTTTTATTAAAGAAAATTTTTCTTCTATTTCAGAAGTATTGCACACTCAGCAAAAAACAAAAATATAACCGAGATCAGAAATTAGTAGAGCCTCCTGAGCTCCTGCGTAGCTCGAACATCTTGTCCGGCATACTCTCAATTAGGTTCGCCATAGTCGCGTAGTCGATATTGCCTCAAGCGGTCAGTTCATCGACGTTATTGTACTGCCGATTGTCAGCGTAGATTCGATGAACGATGATCCTCAATAGGTTCTCGATAGGGTCCAAGCAGAAGAACACGCCGACCAATCCATCACTTGAACACCATTTCGATGTAACCATTCTCTGGTCGATTGCGAAATGTGGGCCGACGTTTTGTCCTGCTGAAAAATGTGGATTCTTCGCCGAGCCCCTCTTAAGAAAGGCAACAGGTGGTATCGAAGTACTTCTTGGTATTCCTCACTATCCATACGCAATGATGGGAAGGCAAGCTCCAACTTTCCGCTGCTTGCAAAACCGACCCAGACCATCAAAGAGCCTTCTCCGAAATTCCTTCTCGAAAACACAAGTGGCTCTCTGCGAAAGCCCCTCCAGTAATAACGAAATCCATCCGGCCTATCGAGATTGAACTTCTTTTCATCAGAGAAGATCGCCAAGGAACAAAATGGTTACAACACATTGTTTGTTCAAAAAATAGGGAGATCCTGAAAATTTTCGGACAACCGTACCTTGTCCCATGATGTTGCCCTGCGAACAAACTCGCCTTGTCAGCTTGTGGCGAGTATTGAGTCGAGGAGCATTCATCATCGTCTCTCATGTGATTTACTCACCAGAGCGGATAGAGCGGCAAACGGTCGTACGTGATACTGATAAACCCATCTGAGTTCGGAGCAGACTCACACACAAGGAAGAATTCGCACCACACGGGCTATTCTCCTGTTTTCCTGAGCAGTCAAAATACGTCGACGGCCAGGAATAGGTTGTGAGCGATAGCTGCCAGGGTCTCGAATGAATCTAGAAGTGCATTAAAAAGAGCGGCACAGTTGCCGCGCGTTTTTTAGACTGGAACGTCCAGCAGCATGTGTAGCCAGAATTTAAGCTCTCTTGCGTTCGAAAGCAGTCTGCCGAGGATAAGCATGACGGTAGGATCAACTGGGCCGAATCATATTTGATGGAAATTTTGGTGTCAAAATCTGATCCGTTCCAAGTGTGCACATACTTTTAAAACAAGAAAAAATATTCCACCTGAAAAAAAGTCGAATGTACAGCGATATTATCTGTATCGGTTAACGACTACGAGGAGTCTTTTGAGAATGGCTTCGGTTGTGGTAGGTTCCTTAGTTACCTTTGAATCAAAAATTTTGAGGTGTGCGCATACTTTCGAAACCACGTATTAGACCAGTCGCGCCGCCTTCTCCCTCCTTCTTATGACAGAATGTAATAATCGACAAATCGGTCCCTCCTTATTTAGAACAGATGGTACTTTTCGTAAATGAAATTCGACAGATGAGCTGTTCACCTTAAAAACAATGCAACCAAAGCCATGAATGGTGCTCGCAAGTATTGTCAAATCATAACAATACAATTATCAAATGTCTTTATAAATACAGCTCCCTTTCCCTTCGCATACATCGTTAAATAAAAATCCGAGTTCGTTAGCAGTCGGATAAGTTTTGCCAAGAATAATTTCGCAGCAAAGAGAAACCGTAATCCTTGATTGAGTCATAAACTTTGCTGGGTAACGGTCGTAACCTGATGACAACAAGTAAATCAGTTTTTACCACCGTATAATTTAGTACACTTAAAGGCACCGTTCACGATAATTTTGGGTAATCCAGATTATGAT